ACCTTAAGGCTCGGGGCCAGATGATGGCGTATGTGACATATCGCCTGAGACTGTCCCTTACGGGATGCGGTGTTACCGTCGGTAATACACGCATCGAGTTCTTTCGATGCAAGGAACAAGCGCATGTCTAGGGCCCACTCGAGGTAGTTATCCCCGGAGACGTGAAGGGCCTCGAATTCACATTTCTGAATGTTTGACATCTGAAACATGAGATTGATTTTGTTAGGGATTGTTTTGAGAAAATTTTGAATGCTGATGATGAAACTTTCTATTTTGAGAATATTTCTATTTTAGGAAAGTTTCTAAATTTGGAAAGTTTCTAATTTGGGTAATTTTCTAAATGAGGAAAGTTTCTATGTCGGAAAAATTTCTATATGAGGAAAGTTTTTATATGAGGAAACTTTCTATTAGAGGGAACTTTCTCGGAAATAGTAAATTTTAAAGGGTATGGTTTTAGTTACCCCGAACATGATGTCGGTTTAATAGCTGTGATTTAATCGGTTAAAGCCGAATATAATTTCGGTTAATGAGAACCAGGTTTAGCCGGTTTTAGGCGGTTTAGGAGGAACCCTAGGGGAGCCGAATATGATTAGGGTTTTATCTAGGGTTTTAACCAATCAATTAGAGATCGATTTTTTTTTTTTTTTTTTTTTTTTTTTTTTTTTTTTATAGGGTTTTGAAGTGTTTAAACAACAGGTTCTATGGCTCTCAGTTTTAGAAGATACCTTTTCCACCTTTGGATTTCTGACAGGCTAATGAAACTGGGAGCTAATAGACCTCAGTTAGCCGCTACAAATTCCAAGGATTGATCACCAAAACTGGAGAAGCTGCTGGTTGAAGAAGGAAAAACTCGGATCTGGTTTTTTTTTTTCGGTTGATCGTCGGGTACTGGAAGTGGGGCGTGAGGGCACGTCCGACGTTGGATCGACAAACGGTTTTCACCAGTAGATTCGTCTCGTCGAGGGCTTCGATTTGATATGTAGATCGTCTTCTGGTCCTCACGGTTGGAAGATATGCGTCTTTTAAGTTTCGACTTGCTTTTAGGGTTTTGGTGATGGCCGGATTTATTAGGGTTTTTTGCTCAGAGAGTCTTATCGTGCTGATAACGTGTTGTGAAAACTTAGAAACTTTATTAATCACTGGAATGTATATATAGAGTACATAGGGAATCTAGGTTAAGTACAATGCCCTGATGGGCCTAATGGGCCGGTATAAGAGTCCATATATGATATATGTTATAACAGAGGGATAAATATAGTCGTTGGCTCCAATATGAGATAGATAAATAGCTCTTGAGGAAATCCTCTTAGCCTCTAAATCTCATAACTAAGATCTCAACCTCTTTTCAACGTTCTTGAAGTTATTTAACTGTGTTCTCAAATTTATCACCTTGAAATCGAAAAATACTAAAAAAAATCAAATAATTGTCACCGATTTCATTAAAACCCTTATTAATATATTTGTTAACGATAAGGATATATATTCCATATTTGCATATATGTCAATATTCTTATTAGATACGGATATATTTAAGGATACGGATATATTCCATATTTACATATTTGTCAATATTCTCATTAGAAACGTTTCTATCCTTTTTTAGAGGGTCTTTTCACCTAATACCTTGTACTATATATACTCTGCTTAATATCAATATACATATTCCCTTGATTTTGGCAATAAAAATTGAATCTTCTTTGGTCTCATATTTTGATTTAGCTTTAGCATATCTCAAATTCTCTGGTTCATAAATTTATTTTCACGAGGTATAATGCATATTTCTTTTAAGAATTTTTTTAATGGAAAAACAATGGTGAAGCTAGAGGTCGATAGCTCCAAATCCGTCGACTTCAAAATCGACGTAGACCCAACCACGCAGATTTCTAAAAAAACTGTGGATGGAAGGATGACTATAAACCTAGAGGTGGATAGCTCCAAAAACATCGACCTCAGGATCGGTGAAGTAATGGATATTTTTGTTAAGTCTTTGAATGGGAAGACCCATACCTTAACTGTAGCCAGCTTCGACACCATCGAATACGTCAAGGCCATGATCCAGGATATAGAGAAGATCCCGCCCAATGAGCAGAGGCTGGTCTGTGGCGGCAAGCAGCTCCAAGACGGTCACACCTTAGCGGACTACAATATCACGGAGTATTCGACCCTTCACTTGATGCTGCGTCTGAGGTAGCGTCTAATCTATATCTTTGGTTATGGAATTTACACTTAACTTTCACTATCGTTGAGTTTTTACTCGTTTAGGGATTAGAATGTCGGTGTTTATATATTTCTTCTATACTATTATTTTAGGGCTTGATCCTATGAGGCTCGATCTTGTGGATAAGTAAAAATCATCAAACATGGCAACATTTTTATTTTTATATTTATTTTATATGAAAATAACAGGAGCTGTAGAAAATGCCCTAGCTCTCGACGCGAAGAAAAAAAAATGAGGAAAGGATGACATATGAGAATTGGAGTCATTAAGCTTAGACCATCTCCAATATATTTTTCTATTTCTCTAATTTTGACTTTAAGATAAGGGTGAATTTTTCTTTAATATATTATTCTATTTTTACTCTAAAAACGAAATATTTTAAATATAATTTATTTTTATTTTATTAATAATATTTTTTTTTGCCAGTTTAATATATTTTTATGGGCAATTCTGTTAAATAACCTCAAAAGAGTAAAAGTTGACAAAAATGTACTTTCATTTGGAAAAGAGACAAGAATAACCTTTACGATTTAGGAAGACAATACTAAATTTGTAAAAAGCATTCCTCAAAAATCAAATAAATTAGGAAGGTTTTTTAGGAAAATTTTTTAAACATTTATAAAGTTTTCCTAAAAAATGGTTTTTTTAGGAACCGAGAACAAAGCTCTATAGAGTTTGTGTGCAATCTCGATGATCACACACTCATAAATCCTTAACAAGATTCTTGGGTATTAGAAGTCATAAGATTTTGATTAAAAGCTAGACTTGAAAACCGGTTATATTTTAAACTTCTGTTAGTTGGATTGTGCCTTAATTGAAATGCTTTACAAGATTAAAATTGGATAAAAAATCGAAAACAAAACCGATCAAGAATCAAGATTGTTGCCGATGGAAAAAAACAAACGTCCTCAAATCTCTTTTACCGGCTTGAAATCGGGAAGCCAGAAAGAACTAGTCACCAACATTAAGCCCAATCTTGGATCAGGCGGAAGAGGAGATTCGTGGAGGCCAGCATGCGAGGTTGGTGAGGCAGGTAGCCCAACATACGCCATCCTAAAACCAACGCAAGTTTCTAGTTTGTCACAATTTAACAAGTACTAATATATCATTCTTCTCCAATGATTCAGTAGTATTTGACTATCATCAGCATTAACAATTTATAAACAACGTTTGACTAGGGATTCTCTCGAGGATTGGTTTACTTCTGGTTTAACTCAGGAAATCAATTGGTGCCTGGTTTAGGATCAATTGATTTACATCATCATTGAAGACCGGTTTAGGGATTCGGGTTATGGTGGATCATACGTCGTCGTTTTCTCCTCAAGCTGTAACGGTCATATTGACTTTTACTAAGCTGGTCAACTCATCCCGGAAAATGGTTGTTACGATCTGTTGCAATGGTGATAATCTGGATAAGATTAGTTTCTCGGGGTTGAGATAGATTGGGATTTTTCAATCTTTGTAGAGATAAGGAGAGATAGATTCTTGAGAGAGAAAGACGAGAGCTGAGAGAAGTTTTTCAGGTGAGTGAAAAGACTTGTAAGCTCTGTATATTCCGGCGAGTTTATGCCGGAGACGATATGTATCTGTTCTTAGTGGATTCCGAGGAATACCTCGGCCAGACGTAGGGTTGCTTTTATGCACCTGAACTGGAGAAATTGTCTTGTGTTCTTTAAGTTCTATTCGTACTACAAATTCACATCGAAGTAATTGATTTAGAATTGAGAGTGAATCGTAGATTGATCGGCTGAGTTTACAACAAGTGATATCAGAGCCAGGTTCCGGGAGTGTGAACCTGAGCTTATTTGATCGGAAATCTCTCTTGCTCCGGTTGTGTCGATTCGATTCTCTAAATCGAAGATGGTTTCCGCAAAGATCGAAATAGAGAAGTTCGATGGAGTAATCGATTACAACATGTGGAAGGAAAGACTGTATGCGAATCTAGATCTCATGGGATTAACGGATGCTCTGAAGTCTCAGGAGGAAGAACTGGATGAGGAGAAGGCTCCAGATCCGAAACTGAAAGGAGTCGAATCATCGGAGACAAAGGGAGGTGATCCTCAACTTCCTGAGAAAAAGAGAAAGGTACGAAGTACTATAATAACAAGTATCACTGACAAGATATTGAGAAAGATCATTAAGGAATCAACAGCAGTTGGAATGTTAAGGATCTTGGATGCACAATACATGTCTTTATCTCTGCCAAATAGAATGTATTTGAAGCAACGTCTGTACAGTTTTAGGATGAATGAATCTACCCCTATAGAGAACAACATTGATGAGTTCTTGAGGATTATAACGGATCTAGGGAATGTGAAGGTGGAGATCTCAGATGAAGATCAGGCTATATTGTTGTTGATGTCACTGCCTAAGCAGTTTGGTCAGCTGCGTGATACGCTGAAGTATTCAAAGGCCACCGTGACTTTGGACGAAGTTATAAACTCTATCCATTCGAAGCAGCTTGAGCTGACTACGGGGGAAAAGGGGAACAAGACTCAAGGAGAGGTGCTGTACTCGGGACAAAGCAAAGTGAAGGGGTCTAAGGATCAGAATCCTAATAAGAAGACCAATAAGGGGAAAAAGAGCAAAGGAAAGGGTGGCACGCCTACTTGTTGGATTTGTGGAGTAGAAGGTCATTTCAAGAGAAATTGTCCAAAGAAGAATGGACAACATGGAAAAGACAAAGGTATGGAAAAGGGTGAATCGTCTGCAGTTACATGAGTGGAATTTATTGAGTCCCTCACTGTGTCAGAGGCTAATGTCGCAGAAAGTTTTGACTTCAATGAAGTTTGGATTTTGGATACTGGGTGTACATTCCATATGACACATAGAAAGGACTGGTTTATGGATTTAAAGGAAAGCACTGCAGGGACTGTAAGGATGGCCAACGAGACGGTATCTACAGTCATGGGTATTGGGACAGTTCAGATCAAGACTTCAGATGGAAGGATTGTTTAGATTAAAGATGTGAGATACATTCCTCAGTTCTCTAGAAACCTATTATCTCTTGGGACTCTAGAGGAACAGGGATGCGTATTTACATCTAAGAATGGAATCCTAGAAGTGACTAAAGATACCAGGGTGGTCTTGAGGGCTAAACGTATAAGCAATCTGTACTTCTTACAGGGTAAAAGCTGCGTGGGTGAGGTAAATGCGGTCAATGACAAGGATGAAACAAGCTTATGGCATAGTAGGCTTGGACATGCAAGTCAGAAGAGTATTGATGTTCTTGTTAAGAAAGGTTATCTGGATAAGGCAAGAGTGACTAATCTTTTGTTCTGTGAGAATTGTATATTTGGAAAGGCTCATCGCACCAGTTTCTCAGCAGGTCATCATACAAGTAAAGGATGTTTGGACTACATTCATGCAGATCTGTGGGGTTCACCAACAGTACCTGAATCTATTGGGAAGTGTCACTATTTCTTAAGCTTGATTGATGATTGTTCAAGAAAAGTTTGGGTCTATTTTCTAAGGACTAAAATCAGGCGTTTGAAAAATTTGCAGAATGGAAAGTGCTGGTTGAGAATCAGTCTGGGCTTAAGGTCAAAAAGCTGAGAACGGATAATGGTTTGGAATTCTGTAACAGAGAATTCGATGGATACTGTATTGAACATGGGATTGCTAGGCACAAAACGATTCCCCACACACCACAACAAAATGGTGTTGCGGAGAGAATGAATAGAACCATTTTGGAAAGGGTCAGAAGCATCCTAAGTGAATCGGGTTTGCCAAAAGTGTTTTGGGCAGAAGCGGTGAATACAGTAGTGTACCTGATAAACCGGACACCTTCAGCAGAAATAAAGGATCAAATCCTAGAGGAAGTCTGATCTAAATCTTCTCCAAGTCTAAAACACCTGAGAAGGTTCGGATGTGTCTGTTATTTTCATACTGATGAAGGTAAGCTTCAGCCTAGAGCAAAGAAAGGATTTTTGTTGGTTATCCTGCAGGTGTTAAGGGATATAAGGTCTGGTCATTGGATGATAAAAGATGCATCATCAGCAGAAATGTAACTTTCAAAGAAGATGAATGCTACAAAGACCTGGTAAAGCCCTCTGATCAGTCAAAGGAAGATAGTACTGTTTTCTTGAATGTTGAGCTAGGAAGGAATACTAGTTCAGGAGGAGACTCTCAGGAGGAGGGATCAAGTGAATCAGAGGATGATCAAGATGATTTGAGCTCTATTGGTGATGTCTCGGAGGATGGTTCAAACCAAAATGAACCAGAGGTTGAAAACTACAATCTTGCGAGAGATAGACCAACAAGAGAAATTACATTCCCTAAGAAGTACGATGACTTTGTACATATGGCACTCATGGTTGCAGAGGTTGCTGACTCACTTGAACCTAGTGAATATGCAGAGGCAATGGAAGATTCACAGAGCAAAATGTGGAGACTCGCTTCAGATGAAGAAATTGAATCTTTGTACAAGAACTTCACCTGAGAATTGGTTAAGCGACCAAAGGGGAGGAAAATCATAGGTTGCAAGTGGATATTCAAAAGGAAACCTGGGATTCCTGGAGTAGAAGCACCTCGGTTTAAAGCAAGGTTGGTTGCTAAAGGGTATGCACAAAAGGAGGGTGTGGACTATAATGAAATCTTTGCTCCAGTTGTCAGACATGTGTCCATAAGATTTCTCATGTCCATTGTGGTGAATGAAGATCTAGAGCTTGAACAGCTCGATGTTAAAACGACCTTCTTGCACGGAGAGTTAGAAGAGGAAATATATATGGCTCAACAGGAAGGCTATGTGGTGAAAAGAAAGGAGGACTCGGTATGTCTGCTAAAACAATCACTATATGGGTTGAAACAAAGCCCGCGACAGTAGAATCAGAAGTTCAATGACTTCATGATGGAAATTGGGTTTGTGAGGAGCAAGCGCGATAGTTGTGTCTATGTCAAGAATGTCTCTGGAACATACCTGTATCTCCTTTTGTATGTCGATGACATGCTGGTTGCTTGCAGAGATATGGGTA